CTATGTGTACCTTTTTTTCTTGTTCGCTTGCAGGTTTTTACAGCGTCTTTCTAAAGAAACTAAAATAACAAATTTCTTATATATCTTATACTGTGTACTTCACTTTTGCTGAAGTGCATTGTTTCTGTATTAGTTTTTACTTGTCTTTTTTTTTTTCCTTCTTGATTGTGATTTAATGTGACTTCTTTGTCATTTTCTAGTTCACTGCTACAGAAGTTTGATATGTAGTCATTAACTACTGCCTTGATTTTTTTTTTTTTTTTTAAATAGGAGAAGGCCTATGTGTTTGGGCCAAGTAAACAGTTCATTCCTGTCTTTTCTTCTTGTATCCAGTATCCAGTTTCTAATAAGCCACACGTAGCTGTACTGACTAGATATCCATTTCATCTGAAACACAAACATTTATACATGCACTTTAATTTAGTGAAGTTAGCTTAAAAATGTTTAAGACAGTGGATCTGCTTGCTTCATATCATGTTAAATTCTTCTTTAAAATGGCCCAAATTGAACATTTTGATTGTCTTTTTTTCTCAGGTGACTATCATATGCATGCTTTTAAATATTTTTCCCCGATTGCCTGTTTTTTAATGTTGCAAATGCTGTATTATAAAACAACAACAAAAAAAAACCACCAACAAACCAAATCCAATGTTGGTTATCATTAAATGTCTTTTTAATTTAGCAGATTTATGTAAAATAGTATTAAAAAATATAACTGTTTCACAGACTTTTTGTTCAGGGATTTATTACTGAGGTAGCAACTGACTTCATCCTCTTTCCATCCTTCCCCCAAAAAATCTTTAAGGATCATTTTCTTCTCAGCCTTTTGTGTACTAGCGTTGATCAGTAATTCTGATTCATATCATCGAATATCTGCACCTCTCCTGTAGGAAAGGTTGGGAGAACTGGTTTGTTTAGCTTGGAGGAGAGAAGATTTCAAGAAAATCTCATTGCGGCCTTCCAGTACTTAAGGGAGCATGTAAACAGGAGGTGGTACGACTGTTTATGAGGATGAATTGTGATAGGACAAGGGGGAATGTTTTTAAAGTAAGACAGGGGAGGTTTAGGTTGGATATTAGGAGGAAGTTTTTCACACAGAGGATGGTGACACACTGGAATAGGTTGCCCAAGGAGGCTGTGGATGCCCCATCCCTGGAGGCATTCAAGGCCAGGCTGGATGTGGCTCTCAACAGCCTGGTCTGGTGGTTGGCAACTCTGCAAGTAGCAGGGGCGTTGAAACTAGATGATCATTCTGGTCCTTTTCAACTCAGGCCATTCTATGATTCCATGATAAAACTACGTGAAAAATAAATTAGCTTCAGAAAGAGTGATACTGTCTCAATACATATGCACATATCATTTAGTCTGCAAATTTCTTCTTAACTTGACCCTAAAGCAAAAGAGCAATGCTTTATTTGTTCTCTTGTTTAAACAATGTCCGTTCTTTATTTGCTCTTTTCAACCTGCTTTTCATTTAGTTGCTCAGTTCAATAACAGCAAAAAACCAACATAACCAAAGCCAAAAAGAAATAGCTCTACTGAATACAAAAATCACAGAATCAAAGGGGTTGGAAGGGACCTCCAGAGATCATCAAATCCAAGCCCCCTGCTAAAGTAGGTTCCCTACACCAGGTCGCACAAGTAGGTGTCCACATGGGTCTTGAATGTCTCCGGAGAAGGAGACTCCATGACCTCCCTGGGCAGCCTGTTCCAGTGCACCGTCACCCTCACCGTAAAGAAGTTCTTGCGCACATTTGTGCAGAACTTCCTATGCTGCAGTTTCCAGCCGTTTCCCCTTGTCCTGTCTCCACACACTACTGAAAAGAGTCTGGCTTCACCACTCTGCCCCCCACACCTTAGATATTTATAGACCTGCATCAGGTCCCCTCTTAGTCTTCTTTTCTTGAGGCTGAACAGACCCAGTTCACTCAGCCTTTCCTCATAGGAGAGATGCTCCAGGCCCTTCACCATATTTGTGGCCCTCTGCTGGACTCTTTCCAAGAGATCCCTGTCTTTTTTGTACTGGGGAACCCAGAACTGGACACGGCTCCAAATGAGGCCTTACCAGGGCAGAGTAGAGGGGGAGGATCACCTCCCTCGATCTGCTGGCCATGCTCTTTTTAATGCACCCCAGAATGCCATTGGCCTTTTTGGCCACAAAAATGATGGTTTTTCTATTAAAAATATTACCTACGTAATTCAGTATATTATGGATTGTAGTTATATCTGCAAGACAAGATAGATAGGTCACTCCAAAAGTAATGCCTCCTAGTAATTTTGACGTGGAGTATAACATGGCAGCGACATGTAATGGAATATCGGTGGAAAGGTTCAACTCTACTGCCAGCATTCGCCTCTGATGTCATAGGACAGTGTTATGAAATTGGACGTATTGCTTTTGGAGCAGCTCTCAGCATTTCCGCTTCCAAAGCTTCCAAAGATAACTCCTATGTGAAGTTGCCTTTTGAGAACAGTATTAGATGGAAATATACATGTAATCATAGGATAAAATTTTATGTGGATTCAGTGACTGTTGCTCAGCACTTTTAAGAATTAGTTATTGGTATGACTGCTAAATATGAATGTTCTTCCATGGCTTTACTCTCACATCTCACACTAGAATTATGATCTAATTTTATATTAAGAGTTTGGGTGACACGGGTAGGAAAAGCCAAATGTGATAGAAGTAGAATGTAGCTGTCTGTTGAAAATACATTTTAACGTGAATAAAATGTAACTTGTTAAATCATACTTCACATGCACAGGGTATGTTTTAATATAACTTCCTACGTGTAGTTGAATGTTCTTGCTCTTCGTGAGTATTAGATGTATAGTCTTTTGCTACTTTTGGATACTTACTAATATTGTAGAAGTAGGTGTGTTTAAGTTAGTGGAATTGATATTGGGCAGATATAGCCAAAGACATTTTTGGCTTTTTTTGAAAGCAAGTATTTATTTATTTATTTCATAACATCAAGTTTGCTCTCTGGTGTCACAGACAGACCTGGATGCATTGCTCATGTCATAGCATTCGCAATCTTTGACTACTCTACTGATTTTCCCAGTTAGATTTTATGGCAGGAAATGGTTTTAGTATCCATGTACTTGTGATGAACATTTATACAGCTTGAGTTGAGATTTTCTGAAACTTCTCTTTATAAGTACATTTTTTCCTTTTTTTTCCTTTCCTTTTTTCTTTTTTTTTTTTTTTTTTCTGTTTTCCAGACTTCTTTAAGTAGAAATAAATCACTATTATTATATTAGAGCCCAATATACACAGCAGGGAACATGATGTTTTACTTTCCCCTATTTATTTGTTTTTCTTGTTGTTTGTTTGTTTTTAATTCAAACTGGAAAAATGAATATGTACAAAGAGCAAAACTCAGTGAAGTCACTGGTACTCTGCAGGAGCTTGTGTCTTTTTTTTTTGATCCTATAGAAAGTTAAATTCTGAAAGTACACAGGTACATCAGCGCAAGATGTGAAATGTTTTCTTCTATATATGTGAAGTTTGAAAAGAAATAGAAAACTGTTAATGATCAACAAAAATATAATTCAGAGAAAAAGTTTAGGAAAACCTTCACATAAAGAACAGAGAAGTATCTGCCAGCATTAGTTCCAAAAATCGAATGTCTCTTTCAGATAATCTTCAAGTATTCTGAATTTGCTGAGATATTTCAGTGATTCTTTGCATGTGGATTGATATGAAGTGAAAAAAAGATTTTTCTCTGTTTGACTTCAAAGACATTCCTGTAATAGCTGTTTCTGAGTAGAAGAGAACATTCAGAGAAGTCCCTTTTGCAATGCTTTGTGTGCTTTGTGTGAAATTAGTTCAGATTGCAGTTTAATGGTTTCATGGCCTGAGCCTTTCACTTACTGATAGCATACAAACAAAACAGCAAGTCTAAGGGGAGACTAGGTTCTCCTCTGTGCTTACTTTAAGAACTCTACAAAGAACAATGTTGGACACTGAAATCTGTATTGACTCTGAAACTAAAACAATGACTCAAGCCAATATCTGTTCACTTAAGGCGCTCAAAAACTTAGCTGTGTATCATGAGAGCATCACTCATCTGGCAGCGAGAGAGCTACAAGTTTTAGCACTTTCTTATTTCTTTCTTTCTTTGACTTCTAATCTAGAAAGCAGTCAAAAAAAGGACTGAAGTGTGATAACCATATAACTTCAGCTCAGTGGTTGTAGCAATCAGAGAATGCTTGGCAGTTAAAATTCTGTGATGAAGTGCTTGCAAAAAAATATTGATGTATTTTAATATGTTCTTGCTTTGTATTATTTGCATATTTTCCAGTGAAAAACCTTTTGTTTTCTGTAAGATGCTATTATCCTGATTGAATTTCCAGCAATTAAGATGTAATCATATAACTTAAGTATATAACTATACATTTAAAAAATCTTTATGAACCATCTCCTAAGAATGCACCCATGGTAAATGGACTCATTTTCTTGTAATTTACTAAAAATACTGATATGAGAGTGGTTGTCATGTGGAAAGTATGTTAGTCCCTGCTGTTGCCTTGTATTAATCAGATTGTTTGATTGTATTAATCAGAAGGTTTGTAACATATGAAGTGATGTAGCCTCATGCTTCTTACTTTGAATCGTAGCTGAAAAATGATCTTCTGAACTAAATCATGTGATGAAAGTACAGGAACCTGAAAACAAATAACACTAATAAACTTAGATGTTGCAGTATGTATCTTAAGTATTTTTGAGGGTGAAAAGAGTCATCTAGAGGCCTTTTAGTAAGCTTGTTTCATTTTATAACAACTGTCTAAAGGTACATTGACTTTGGATATTCTCTGAAAAATAAAGCCTTCTTAATAGCAAATCCTGAAGCAACTAGCTTGATCTCATTCTGTGGAGACGCTATTTGGCTGTACTACTTTTAATAAAAGCAACTGGACTTTTTAGTACTTTTCAAAATGCTTCGAGTTGTGGAGCAATTATCTGACTTGGTTTTGTTTTTTGCTTTTTCTTACAGAAGAAGAGAAGTGAAGGAACTACAACTGATTTCTATATTGCAATTTGATAAAAATGTTTTTGCACTAGAAGCTTGAACATTCTTGCTTCTTATGGAGGTGTTATAAATAACAAATGGCTAAGGTTCTGTAAAACATAACCACCAGTCTGAAACATGGAGACGCAGCTAGACCCCACGAAGGATGACTTGCCCTTAATGGCCAACACTAGCCACATGCTTGTAAAGCACTATGTTTTGGACTTGGATGTGGATTTTAAAAGTCGAGTTATAGAAGGAATCATAGTTTTATTTTTGGAGACAGGGAGCAGATACAGGAAAGCCAGTAGTACTGATAAAAAAGGCTGCCAGTCACACCTTAATGAAACCTGTAAAACTGGGGCATCAGAACCTTGCCATGTTTCTGTGTCAAATGCAAGTGTCTTCTCATCTGAAGCAGAATATAGCAATTTAGCTGTCTGTCGTAAAGGTGGAAAAGATACTTCTGATAAAAACGGTAACCATAGCAATGAGAAGCAAACTTCTGGGATTTCTAGTTCAAAGAATTGCTGTGACAAAGAGAACCATGGGAACAAGGATTTTCTGCTGGTATTGGACTGCTGCGATTTATCTGTGCTAAAGGTTGAGGAGGTAGATATTGCTGCTGTGTCAGGCATTGAGAAATTCACCATGTCTGCTGAACTAACTGATGTTTCAAAGGAGTTGGAAAATCTCAGAAATCAGATTGTACATGAACTTGTGACTTTACCTTCGGATCGCTGTCAGGAACAGCTACACTATTTCACTTGCTGCAGCCAGGCACCTGGCTGTGGAGAGCTTGAGTTTACTACTGGTCGCTGGAGCTTGGAGATAAGGAAACAGGGAGTTCAGACTCCAACAGACTTTCCTCATGCTATAAGAATACGGTACAAAACCAAACCTGAGGGAAGATCTGTTACATGGACTACCGACCAGAGTGGCAGGTATGTAGATTATCTGAAAGATTTTGCACTTGTTAATTTTAAACACAAGTATGAGAATGTTCATTTGTGTACTGCTGAGGAGCTCTGTGAAAATGATGAGCATTCCCTTTCACTGTATCTCTTGTGTACTTGGTTTGAATCCTACTCTATTCTGCAGAATAACAGATAAACTGTGCTCTGGAGACTCCATAGTGCTTGCAGACCTCAAGTCTGCCTAAATGATTGTGCTTCCTCAAACTAAATGGGAATAAATAATTATTGAGTATTGGGGTAAGTGTGCGAAGGAAATAGGAGATCAGCATTTTGAGGAAGGGAGATATATGTGACAAATTATTTTCATTTTAGTACTTTATGTTCTCTTTCCTTTCTAGCTTAAACAACAATTCATACCACATAAAAATCAATATGCTGAACATTTAATAGAATATCTTCACAGCTAGTCTTTTATCAACACTGTACCAAGTGTACAGATTCAGTCTTTTCCTCATAAATCTTCTCATAATCAACTTTGAAAATCTTCACCTCTTATTGTAAAATACACTGATGTTGGCAAAGAAACTGCTTTTTTTTTTTATCTGGCTTTTATGAATGTACATAATGTTATACAGAAATCTTCAAGATAAGATTTTTGTGTGAGTGGATCCACAATTCACTCTTGACTTACACAACTGTATCTGTAATGTTCAAAGGTGGATTTTAATAACTATTATTTCTTTAAGTCTGTGATACTTTGAAACTGGGGGCAAAGTTGGAAGGTGATGAATAAATTCTGAATAATACTTCCTTTTCATTCCTAAAGTAGTGATATATGGTTACGTTTCCTTTCAGTTACGCTAACATAAATTAAGAGTTTGCTCAGAGGCACCTATGTATTTAGTTTATTCTCTGGTAAACCATGATCAGCATAAAGCCCAGTAGTTAATTAGTTAGTGGATAATATTCATTAATTCCTACACTTCCCCTTCTCTCCTCACTCCTCAATACATTATTCACAATATAAGTGCAGGAAGTTTAACTTAAGATAATCGTTAGTTACAGAAATTCTGAATTTTGCCTGAAGCACAAGATGGTATAATTCTCAGTAAGTCTGTTACTGTGAAGCTTTATGGATTAGTGGGTTTAGGCACATTCAGGTATGAGTATGCAAACCTGATGCAAACACATCACGAAACTCTTCTCTTTTCAGTACAGGAACTAAACACAGATAATTTCAGCATTTCATTGTATGTTCTTTGATACTAAAAAATCCTTAGATAGGAGTTGGATGATGGAATGTAAAAGCCACGTAAGCGCTTCTTAAGAGCAGCTAAAGCATCAGTTTGTTATCAACTGTACTCAGTTCTGGTGAGGCCATACCCTGAGTTCTGTATTCAGTTTTATGCCCCTCACTACTAGAAAGATACTGAGGCTCTGGAGTGTGTCTAGAGAAGGGCAATAAAGCTGGTGAGGAATCTGGAGCACAAGTCTTATAGGGAGCTGCTGTGGAAACGGAGATTATTCAATCCAGAGAAGAGGAGTCCCAGGGGAAACCTCAGTGCTCTCCACAAATGCCTGAAAGGAGGTTGTGGTGAAGTAGGAGTTAGCCTCTTCTCCCAGGTAACAGTAATAGGACAAGAAGGAATGGCCTCAAGTTGTGTCAAGGAAGGCTGGATATTAGGAAAAATTTTCTGAAGAATGGTCAGGAGTTGGAATGGGCTGCTGAGGGATGGCGGAGTCACCATGCCTGGAGGTGTTCAAGAAATGTTAAGTTGTACTAAGGGACGTGCTTTAGTGGGGAAATATTGGAGGTAGGGAAGCAATTGAACTGGATGATCTTGGAGGTCTTTTCCAACCTTGGTGATTCTACTATTCCATTACTTTAAATCCAAAATACAGTGCTATACCTGCCACTATGAAAAAAACCTTATCCCAGCTGATACCAAGACATGCAGCTTGCAAATTTGCCTCTAATGGGAGATATTTCGCACTGTTTTTCTGACCTACTTGCTAGCACTTGTAGTGCTGTCTAAATTAGTTACTGATTTTGTTGATATTAGTGAGAAAACGGAATGGAATTGGAAATCTTTGTTTAATGAGGGTGTGGGAATGAAAGAGTATCTTTGATATGAAAGGCATCAATGGAAAAGCATGACAATGAAAGCTGGGTCCTAATCGTGTACTGACCTGTGCATTGTTTACTTTGGCACACATGAGCAGGTCAGTCTATTTGGACTGAGGTTCAGCACATTCACGTGTAATCATTTTTTTTTTTTTTAGTTTGGTGCCCAAATAGTAGATAAATAGGAAAGATAGATAAGTAGGAAAAGATAAATTATGGAAAGGAGATGAGTTGAATTCTTGGAGTATATGATTCACCTATGATTGCTGTGGAAGAAATATACTTTCAGAAGGTATTAAAGGACAATTGTGCAATTCTGGGGAAGCTCAAGAAAGATTTAAATTTGTGCTGATTTGAGAGGTCCCCAAAATGGAAATAGTTAAACTGTGAAATGAGCTCTTAAAAAAAAAAAAAAAAAAAAAAAGTGAAATTCTGATATTTGTTTGACCAATGTAAATGCCTTTTCTTTAAAAAACATTTTATACCCATCTAGCTTGTTATCTTCATACTATCTTACTGTTAGATTAAAATACTAACACATTTTTAAAGAATTCATGAATGTTTTTTGACTTTATGAAAGCTATACATGTGAATACAGCAAGCATAAATGTATAATTAGGTAAAAATGCAAATACAGATGTAAGTAAACGTATGTAAATGCTTTTGTTTTTGAGCTGCAGTATTCAAATGTATATCACAGATGTAGCTGAAGTACTTAGTTACTCATTTGTTATAAATAATCTTGCATTTCTGTAATGGACAGCTGAAGCATATGAGGCAAACAGCGACATGGTACCCAAAGAGGTGGCACCTAGCATAGCATGATGGACCAGTAAACCCCTAAAATGGGAGAAGACTCACTGGTTATGGATATGAACTTCTGAGTATAGCTCAGGGTATGACTGGCCGCAGCTGTCACAAAGAAAGCTGACATCTCAGAACAAAAGGGGCCATTGTGTGATCTTTGTTTTAGATAAACAGCTATGTGAGTTGAGTAGATCGACTGCTGATGTACATGTTTTTCCCTGAATTCACTGAAAGATTGTTAATGTCTCCCTGAGTCAACTGGGTCAGTATGGGGGATTAAATACATGGCAACATAGCGTATAAAAATTAAACAAGAAAAAGTTGTTGAAGACAGCTAGTAGGCTTGTACTATCTTCATTCCATGTATTCCTCTGTGATGGCTGTGAATGTCCAGCACCATAGTGGTGAGTGTGTTACAGGCTGGTAATAGGAATCATATTGATATTGTGATTTGAACTGTGTATTGCAGTAACTGTATTTTAATAGGGGGAAGTTAATTTGTTCTGTGTTTCCAGTATATATTATATCACTCTTCTAAATCAAAATTGTGATGTTATATCAAATATTATCAAAGAAGTAATTTTGATATTAAACACTACACCCTACATACATAGAACAGACCTTGGTTGCATGCTCAACTTATTTGATGTGACTGGTGCTGCTGAAATGCAAAGAACAAGTAGAAAATTTGTGCATAACTTATGCAGAATTGTTGTCATATAATGGTTTAGTTTGGAAAGAACTTGTAAAGGATATCATCCAACCTCCTGCCATGAGCAGCAATACCTTCTACTGGACTACACTGCCCAAAGTACCATCCAGCCTGGCATTGAACCCTTCCAGCTTCTCTGCTCAACCTGTTCCCAATCTTACCAGCTTCATCATAACAAAAATAAAAATGAAAATCTACCTTACACAAAATTTAAATCTACTCTCTTATAGTTAAAAACTACTGCCCCTGTCTTATCATTAAAGGTAAAAGGCCTTCTTCATTTTTCTTATAAATCGTCTTTATCTGTTGAAATGTTGCCATAAAATTTTGCCAAAGATTCTCCAGGCTGAACAAGCCCAGCTCCCTCAGCCTGTTTTTGTAAGACATGGGCACTAGCCCTCTGAGCATCTCTGTGGCCTCTTCTTGGCCCACTGCAACAGTTCCACATCATTCTTGTGCTGAGGGCCCCAAGCCTTCACGCAGAACTCCAGATGGGGCTTCAGGAAGGCAGAGGGAAGGCGGAGGAAGTGTCATAAATGTCAGTAAAGGCTACAATGTAATCCTTAGAAGATAGAAGCCTTTCTTGGCCTTATGATTTCAGCTTAGACCTATTGTATGAGACTGAAAAGCTAATGCAGAAAATTCTTTTGTGGTTTATGTAAAAATTATTGTTGTACTTTTGCTTTTCTTTATCTTGTCTTAAATGGCTTAAATGGAACTTTGGTTCTTGTCAAACAAGTTTGAAACCTAGCTGAGAAAGTTAAGTATAAAAGCGATACAACAGTATGTTTGATCTTTGACAGAAAACACAATTGAGTCTTTTTTTGTAACTCTGCCACCCATCTCATTTCCTTCCATGTAGGCCATGTGTTTATACGATGGGATCACCGATAAACAACAGAGCCCTTTTCCCGTGCCAAGAACCACCCATTGCCTCGTCAACGTGGCAAGCGTCAGTCCGAGCATCGGCAGGCTTTGTTGTATTGATGAGTGGTGAAAACTCAGCAGAACCAGTCCAGCTTCAAGAAGGTGAAATTTATTTTCTACAGCAGTGTTTTCAGTAGCTTTATAATTGGATATACAGCTTAAGTAATGACATTATTTTTGAAAGGATGTAAAAGCACTTAAAGGATATCTACAAGTAATCTCTATGTGGGGTTGCCTATTCAAGGTCTCAGTAAGAATTAGTAAGAATTTGAGAATATTTTACAGACTTACTTTTTCCAAACCTAGATTTCACTTGTTGTGAATGACTTTATTTTAATTGCTTTGTAGTTGAATGTTTGACAGATAAAGTACTGAATCGGGCTCTTGACAATCCAAGCCTTAATTAATTAAACTTTCAGTGTCTGTTCTTCAGTCCAAGTTGTAGCTTAGTGTGGCAGTAATTAAGAGCTGCCACTGTACTGTATGTTTCCTGAAAAATACTGAATAGATGAAGAATATCAGTTCCGTACTCTGAAAATCTGGTGTTTGCTTTTTGGGTTGGTTTTGTGTTTTTTGTTGGTTTGTTTTGATTTTTTTTTTTTTTTTTTGCACATTTTTTTTTTTTTTTTAAATCGGTAGATAACGCTATCTGCAGCTGAAAGCAACCAAGCATTTTTCTGTTTTATTGGTTACTTCATTCTTTAGACCTCTGTCTGCACAGATAAAGAAATTGTTATGGCAGTTATCAAAATAATATAAAGGATGTCTTGCCACCATTAGTTTTGAAATTGTTTGAGAAGCACGGTCAATATTTTCTAGTGTAAGTAGTTTTGTTGTTAGACCTTTAAATATGAATCCTGCTTATGGAAGTGGTACTCATTGATGTTCAGTGAGAAATCAGGATTTTCATTATTATTTATAATTTATAATTATCCTTTCTTAATTAGGCCTAATTTAAGTACTGATACTGATTGGTCCAGTACTGGGAGAGAAGTCCTAGATTTCTGTTTTATTCCCACTTTCCCTCTGACAAACAAAGTAAACTGGATTCGTACAGCACTGCTGTGGCATTAATCAACATTAATCAGTAGAGCTGCAGAAAGTGCAAGCTGTATTCAGGCTGCAGACAGAAGAGAGCTTAACTTTCGCACAGAGAAATGGAGATAAGTTGAATGGGAAAATTTTGTGGGGTGAATCCAACATCCATCTGGTGGCTATATACACTGATTTTTTAAAGTTTTTAAAGTTTAAGTCCCTAAATAAATGTATTCATTTCCGTTTGCAATGGAGAAAGTTTGTGCTCCTTATGTTTGACAAGGCCCACCACTCCACAGCTATATACTCTAGTTGTAAATAAATGAAATAAAGATTATAGTCTTTGTATCTTACCCATTCTGATAAAAGAAGCTCTTAGAACTCAAGGAAAGCCAGCCTCAAATGGAACTGTTTTGGAAGTCTCCATTCTGAAGTAATATAAGATTTTAATACTTAAAATAATTACAGTGATTACAAGGCAGGATTTAATCCTTACAGCAGTTATTTTCAACTGTAAAACTGTATATGAAATGACTAACTCTTTTCACTGATTCCTGTCCTGATGAATTGCTTTGCTCAGTTTCACTATTTCCATAATTCACCCCTCAGGCAAAGTTTAATAGTTGTTTTTAGCTACTGCCGTAGTGAACTGACTTCTTGTATAATCATTCAAAACTGTATAGCATATAGTGATAAAATAAGTTAATCTCTCAACACTTGCAAAAAGGGGCTGATGCCTATATTCAGATACGGCCAAAATTTTCTTTAATGGGAAACATATAGAAGCATTTTGATACTGGAAAGTAGCTTAGGCATACTTTTGATGTATATAATTTTACTTCCTTTTGGCCAAAAGAATTGTAGACTGTATAGTAGTTCTCTGCAAAGGTTTTTATCCTGTGAAAAGGTTGTTCAATGAAGGCTTATGGAAAAGGTTAGAATTAGGTGCTTGTGGAAAAAAAAATCCCCTCTAAAGAATCAAATTTATATTTGAGAGAGGAAGAATGAATAAAAGTATCCTTAATTTGAGAGCCATCAGTTTGCATTGAATTGTCCAATTATTTTGGTCATATGTAAAGCACGTTTCAAGCCTTGACTCTGCTGCTGAAATATGGACAACTGCTATGATGAGCTTCTCACTCATTTGGGTGATAGTCGTTTCCTGACATGGTATTAAGAAAGTGTTCTTGATTTCAGGCTAGGAGAACAGTTCTGCCATTACTGTATAATTTATTTTTATTCACACTCCTGCCTTGCTGATGAGTTGTTACCCGTACCTTGGTGGTGTTTGCATAGTGTAAAGTATTATGAAAAGAAAGGATTCTGATGTGAATTTCTAGAAATAAAAACCTGTGGAAGATTTTTAGGCAACATAAATGGGCACAGGCCGGCTAAAATGAATATTCTCTTAATCAATTCACTAGTTGAAAAGTCTATATTGTGAAATAATTATTTCCTCAGTAATAATGCTTTGTGACTCTAGTTTAAGAGTCCATTAAATGTGTATGGTGGTACTTGAGGCCGCACCTCGAGTACTGTGTTCAGTTTTGGGCTCCTCACTACAAGAAAGCCATTGAGGCCCTGGAACGTGTCCAGAGAAGAGCAACAAAACTGGTGAGGGGTCTGGAGCACAAGTCTTATGAGGAGCTGCTGAGAGAGCTGGGATTGTTCAGCCTGGAGAAGAGGAGGCTCAGGGGAGACCTCATTGCACTGTACAACTTCCTGAAGGGAGGCTGTGGTGCAAAAGGGTCTGGCCTCTTCTCCCAGGCAAGTAGTAGGACCTGAGGAAACGGCAAGAAGTTATACCAGAGGAGGTTTAGGTTGGATATTTGGAGAAACTTTTTCTCTCAAAGGGTGGTCAGGCACTGGAATGGCTGCCCAGGGAGGTGGTGGAGTCGCCGTCCCTGGTGGTGTTCAAGAGGCGCCTGGATGAGGAGCTACGAGATATGGTTTAGTAGCTTGTGGTACTGATAGGAATGGGAGGGTGGTTGGACTAGATGATCTTGCAAGTCGTTTCCAACCTTGTGATTCTGTGATTCTGTGATTCTGTGATTATGTGGTATTAAGAGAAAAATTAATTCTGGGGAAAACCGCATTTTAAAATGCAGTTGATGGAGTGTTGAAAATGACATCAGTGACCATATCGTTAACGGTAGGATTGGGACTTAGTGGCCCAAATTTGGCCTGTCACCATGTGGAGAATACAAGAGCTTTTAGTTTAAATTCTTGTAGTAGTTGTAATCAGTAAGTCCTGTGTCCTGTGTCAATTCCTTTCAGAGAAGTTTTGAGCTAAACTCGACTGAAGTGAAGCAGCAAGACTGTCTTTAGGTTTTTTCTTTCCCTCTCCCCAGGATGGCATTCCCAAGAGTGTCGAAGATTCTACTTACAGAGCTACATGACACACAGGACTCTTAATTTGTTCTAATTTTGTCATGAAATAAGAGTTGTTTGATTTCTTTAAAGGTAATAAATATTATACTCCAATAACTCTCAGAGACTTGGCAATTAATGACTGCCTCATTATCAGTGTGCTTATATACACAAAAAAATAACAAACAACTTTTAGATACCTGCTTGGAATTGTGAACAATGTACAAAATAGATGAGGAGAGAAAGGAAAGCAGTGATATTGTCAGGAATGATTTAAAGACAAAACACAAAGCTCAGGTGCTAATCTAAATGAATTCTTAATGAGTTTAGGAATCCAGGTTTATTAGTAGGCCTGTGCTGTTGAATAGGCTGTTCGATATAGATCTTTTCACTTTGCAGCTTTGCAGGGCATATTAAATCTATCTAATTTAGAATTTTGTCTTTAGGTCACATCTACCAGCTTTTCAGGGAAAGTTAAATGAAAACATTTTATTTATTTATTTATTTTTACATACAATATGCTGTTGCTATACTGCATATTTATAAAATCGCACTGGCAGAACACCAAGATATATTTTAAAGTATGGAGTTCCCTAGGAAAAACAAACATTTTGGCAGTTGTTAATTAATTTATTCTGAATAGAACTAGGTTAGCTGAATTTTTGTTTCAAGATCATATTTTTAATAAGTGCATAGGCAGTTAATAAGAGAGCAGCAGCAAAGATTATACCCATTGGCCTTTAAACAGAAATCTGCATTCTGCTTCATAAATTTACATCTCTAGGTGTACAGATGCTTTGACCTGATGCCAAGGCAAGATGAGGGCTACTCACTGCACAGAATCCTCATTTTCCATTTGAATTTGCAGGTTTTCTACTAATTGCACATAGCATTTTTTGCATTCTCTCTCCTATAAAATTATGGCTCATCCTTTCATTTGAAATGAAATGTGGCCACAGTTGCTTGAAAGATAGTGCAATGTTACTTACCCAAGTAGAAATGAGAACTATTCACGTAAAATCTATAAGTGCTTCAAAATACTGTGCATTTTTTATGTAGTACATAAGGGAGAAAAAAGCATCAGAAGAATGCTTTTGGTAAGGCCCTTCGGGAAGAAGGGAACACTATAGATGTGTTTATATGTAATACAAGGCATTTAAGCACTGGATATACTTTTTAATTTTTGTTAGTATTATTTTCATTTCATTGCTGTTACACACAGAATGTGCATATATGTTTTGTCACAAGCACCTTTGTATTAATTTTTATTCATGTTCAAGAGTAAACATGAAATCAAGAGGTTTGGTCTCTGTGGTCTATATAGTTACTCTATATTCACATATTCCTAGTGTTTCTATCTTGTGTAGACTTTGATTTCAGCTAGAAGATGTGTTTTGTTATTAGAAATATAGTGGTATGGAAGCCATCACCTGACTATACTTTACAGTAAAAGATTTTATTTGAGCTTTTCTCTCTTTTCCCAAGGCAAAATTAAAGAGTCTGGTACTCATGTTGATTGATCTCCAATATGTAGCAGGAATTACACTATGGGAGTTGACAGCTTGTCACATGCTACTCATCCTTCTGAGTCAGTGCTGAACCGATACTCCAGCATGAATGTGGGAAAGCGATATGGGAAGTTCTGTCCTTCAGATAAGATAAAAAATCTCTGCAAGTTTCAAGGAGTTCCAGAAAGC